AATGTTAGGTTTATACAATTACATTTTCTAAATCGACTAAGACAAATTGTACACTAAACCCATTGACGTACTTTTCTCTTTGAAGCATGAAACAAGCTCGCACACTCAAATTACAATGAGAAATATTTTACCTGAGCAAACCATAATCCTTCAATTTTTACGAAGCCAGATATACATATTTATAAATAAAATTGTTTGTTGTTATGTTGGTGTTTCTTTTGGAAAAGTCAGTTTCAAATACTGATTGAGTTTGGTACTTCCAGTGGATGTAAATAAGGGTAAGGAAATTCGCGTTGCTTGTTTCTTTCGTCGATAATTTTTCCCAAGTTTATTAAACGTTGTCTAAGCCTAGGGAAGATAATCGGTTATTATTTTGATATCAGTTTAAAAATCATCACTCGCTTTGTCAGTCTGTTATAATAGCAAGATATATTATTTTTGACGAAGTATAGATGTTTAAACGTTTAGGTTCACTATTAAATTGTGCAATTGGACATTAACGCATAAATTTTCAGAGCTTTTTGATCCCTTGATTTTGTTGTAATTACGACAATAACTAGTCAACGTCTTAACTTGTTTACAGTTTTTTGGGGACGTTGTTATTCTTTTAACGTAAATGATCAAAATAACAACAACACCAATCAAATGAATGCCCCGTATCTAATAAACTCCACTCCCCTTTTGAATTACGTAGGAGTATGCATTAGATGCATCTCTCTAAAGGCTGATTTCCATTCAGTGTAAATTGTCGCGCGATCGACTTTTTTCGATCACTTTCTTTTCAATTGTAAGCTCTCGACCGGAACAATTTCACACTGCTGCACATAATTCAAAAGAAAGTGATCGCAAAAAGTCGATAGTGCTACAATTTGCACTGAATGGAAATCAGCCTTAATAAATGAACTGTCTCCAATAGATGCTTCCTCACATAACCATTACATGATATCATTAAATGTCAGTCGTCGATCGGGCCCTGAATTCTTATATTTAGAGTTTGTTTTGTGTTTTGTTTGTTCGCATTAAAATGATAGAAATGACATATACGCTTTTATCTATTTAACCCCTCTCCTCCTAAAATCTACAATTTATGATTTATTAGATTATCAACGGTCTTTTTTGGATCATTGACGGACTTTCATTTATGTTGCCAACTAACACATATACGACAGGTTTTTAATCACCGCTCTTTCTCATGCTTACCCTTTTTTTACAATTTCAGATATTCCACTTGCTTTACAGGACATTGTGTTGTCAATCCATCCATTTGGTGAAATAAGCTTGTTTAGCGCTAGACCAAGAACAGTGAATTGACATTAAAGACTTGTTAGATGCTACAAATATTAGACGCACAGTAAAATACTTTTCGTCAATGATTGTCCATTCAATCGACGTATGTAAATTATGTATTTACTTTTTAGAATGGTTAAATGAAATACAAACCTATTGATGGCCAAAATATACAAAAAATGTGGCGCCAATAATCGAAATAGGGGATGAGACGGAAAGAGCTGTCTGTGTGTCCCAATGCAAACAGTTTCTGCGATTAAGTGCGTGAAACCTAAAACGTAACAAATAATAAGAAATAAAGTCAAATCAACATTGCGAAGTTGCTGCAAGAGATAGTTATTTCTTTTGTAGAAAAACTCACCCAAATGTGTGCAAGCCTGATGATATGAGCAGTCAGCATTATTGAAATACATTTTTACTAGCATCCACGTGCTTTCCGGATAAATGGGGATAAAACCTTCAAAAATGTACATTTACATGACTTATCTATGAAGAACTAGAGAGAAGTCATTAAGAAAACTTGAGAAAATGAATTACATTTTTTCCCCTTTATTTGGTACTTTTATGAACAGCAATCTAACAATCTTTACTTTGCTACGCTGCAATAATATAAATAACATAACTTACATGTGTTTCAGAGCGTAAATCAACATTCTTTTTTTCAAACTTATATGGAAGTTGAGAATCAGACACTTCCACTTTAAGGAAAGTTACAGTGATGGATAATGATGTTAAACGAACGGACACGAAGTTTGAGTTTTTCACAACATAACGATTCTAGATAAAAATAAACAAACGACATTAAAAGAGCATTTGTTATACACTCACTGGAAGAGGAGGGTGGCAGAAAAATGGTCATAAAAAGTTGTTGTAACTCTTTACGCACAGTGGCACTGACATGATTTATTTTAAGTGGGGGGGGGGGATATCCGTAAAGATTATAAATAAAACTGGAGGTGGCATTGATGTTTTAAGGCGACGAGTGAATTGGGGGGCAAATTTTGGTCCGGATTAAAATAAGAAGTAAACAAATGATGTTTTTGCCGTCTGCTTCTAATTTTTGAATTCCTTTTTAATGTATTTTAGTAAGTTTTTTATAATCTTTTGTACGAGCACTAAGAAAATTTGTCATTTTAAAGCGTTAAACTGTACGCGATGAAAACTTATGTAAGTTTTTCGTTGTTTTTCTTTTTTACAGCCCTCATATTCACATAGTTTAACAATTTTTAACATTTTTCTGGTATGGATGACAATTATATGTTTTTTGAAGTCCGTTAGCGGTTGAATTAAAGACGAGAAAGGACTTTTATCAAGCAATGATTTACGGACTTATATAATTTACCTAATAAGTATAAAAGCAATACAAACAAGTTTTGCAAAATACGAGTCGTTTAAACCATCTAAAATTACGATAAAAAGGAAAGCGTTGTTAAACAACTAGATTTGGATAGTATTTACTATAGTATTTACCCATAATATCTACAAAAAAGTAAAAATAAAGAGTCGGCTATTGTAGCTGAACATCCGGGAACTTTGCTCCCCAAAAAAACGCGTACCATATTTTGAACTATAGATTATATTACGATGCCACCTCTAGACGCCTTAACAAAAAAGTTACCTCACTGACGTCAGTTATAAAGCAGCTAAAAGAAAAGAATCTGATTTCCTCGTCTTGCGAAGAAATGCTCGAAAGAAATATAGCTGGTCTTCCAACAGAGCTGTACAAAAAAATGATGTCAAAGACACACCAAGGATGCAAGTACTCACCAGAACTTAAGTCATTTGCATTAACTCTTCAGTTTTATTCGTCGAAAGCTTACGATTTTGTGCGCAAAACATTCAATTTAGCTTTACCTCATCCAACACAAATTCGTAAATGGTATACGAAGGTCCCTGCTGAAGCAGGATTTACACAGCCATCATTTGAAGCACTTGCCTTGAAAGTAAGAAATCAAGAGAAGTTAGAGTGTTCCTTAATGATCGATGAAATGGCTATTAAAAAACATGTATCATGGGATGGCAAGAAATTTCGTGGCTATGTTGATCTCGGAAACGACGATGAAGCTGATGATTCTTCTCCCGTTGCAAAGGACGCTCTAGTTTTTATGGTAGTTTGCTTGAAACAAACGTGGAAAGTTCCAGTAGCCTACTTCTTTATCGATGGACTGAGCGGTGAAGAGCGCGCAAATTTGGTTGAGCTGTGCATCAAGAAACTTCACGAAATCGGTGTTGATGTGATTTCTTTTGTATGTGATGGGCCATCCTGCCATTTCGCTATGTTACGAGCTCTTGGAGCAAGTATGACACCACCTCAACTACATCCATATTTCATCCATCCTTCAGATAAAAACAGGAGAGTTTATGTGTTCCTCGATATTTGCAGAATTACAAAAGCTCCAAGATAACGAAGGCTTGAGACTTGGAAACAAGTTGAAGGAGGCACATATAAAATGGTGGCAGCAGAAAATGAAAGTAAATTTGGCTGCCCAAACACTAAGTTCCAGTGTTTCTGATGCAATAGAATACTGCACAAACACTCTTAAACTTCCACAATTTCAAGGATCGGAAGCCACTGTCTACTTTATTCGCATCATAGATCATCTGTTCGACATTCTTAACTCTCGAAACCCATGTGCCAAAGGTTATAAGGCTGCTCTTCGAAAAAGCAACAAAGAAACTTGGGAGGCATTTTAGCAGAAGCTTATAACTACATTATAAATCTGCGAGATGTATCTGGTAATCTGCTGTACAACACTCGCCGAAAGACAGGATTTGTGGGACTTGGTGGCAATAACAAACATCAAGCAAATTTTCTCTGACCTGGTTGAAAGAAAAATGCACCAATGAAATACATACTAACATACAAGTTCAGCCAAGATCACTTAGAGCTATTTTTTGGGGCAATTCGATCAGCAGGAGGATTTAACAATAACCCAACAGCCCAACAGTTCACAGCTGCCTATAAAAGATTACTTTTACGAAGCAGCATTGAAGGTAGAAATGGAAACTGCAAAAAGCAAGATGGAACAGACATCCTTGAGATTATTACTGATTCAGATAATAGAATTGACAAAATGCCAGTATTTGAGCGCTTTTTGACACACTTTCACCTAGGAAATACATATTTATGAAACCGATTAAATATACAACGTATAAATAATGCCCTTAAAACGTGCTATATGAAGTCATCTTCAGAGTCAAAATGAATCTATAATCGCCTTTATCCCTAACTATCCCTACCATTCATCTCATATATCGCTAATCTTATCATTCCTTAACCACACATGTCATTTATTCCTTGTAATCCCCCCAACCATGTGTTCTCCTTAACCTTTATTATCCCATTATTACATGTCTTCATTTATCCCTTAACTATACCTGTTTTTTATTCATCCCTTATCATCCCTTAACCGCGCATCCTCATTTATTCTTTATCATACTTCAACAATGCGTAGTCATTTATCCCCACGCGTCTTTATTAAGTTGTAACTGTTATCTTTCTTTTGTGTTTCAGGAAAAGAAAAGACAAAACGTAAAAAAAAAGAAAGCAAACATTGCGCAAATTGAAAATGTTGAATTCACAGAGACGGAAGAAGGAACTTGTACTGTCAGTTCTCATGGTAGTTCTTCCACGAATACGACTGCTCACGATAGTTCCACGAGTTTTACCCGAGCGGCATACGATATATTACAACGTAATACTGATTCTCAGGTACATGCTCGTGGTAACCATGCTTTAACTAAAAGGCCTGACGATTTTCTTGAAGTGCCAAAGAACTCTCAGTTGGCTTATTGTTCAAATTCTGAGAATTCAAGTCTTTCTTCCACAATGGCGAAATCCAACGTTGAGAACAAGGAGAATGAAACAGATGAACAAGTGGCTCGATTAACAAAGAAAAGCCAGGAAGTTCTGCATCTTAAAGACGAGTTTAAAACTGCGAATGATTTGAAAAAAAAATCCTTCTTTGACAACATCTTTGCAATCAGGGCGTTACACTGACTCATCGCTCTTGTCGGAGGAAGTGTTTGAGCCCCTTGTTGATATGAACAGCGGTGTATCTCTAATTCCCGTTGTTTGCCCCGATGACGATAAAGGAGTTAGGGGTCTAGCTATGTCAGATGAAAATGAGCGATTTACTGTTGCACCTGAGACGTCGCGACATTTAGAAGATACTTCATTATTTTATCGACAAGAATTTCTAACGAGTTGACCATTTTAACTGAGGTGGTAATTTATGTTGTTTTCAGTATTTACACTGATGAAGACGTCGAGAATGATGCAAGTTTAGCAATAGAGGCAACTGTTGCAGCGATATGTGCCACACGTGATGGTAGCATAGAAATTAATGATTACTCAGGATCTTCATTGGTCAGAACCATGGGTGATGGTTGTATGAATGTTAGTTAATTATGAAATGCTTTTATCTTTTTAAGGGGAGGGTAGAAAGCCATCTGTAAATATCTTTGTTATATTTAGTTCGTTATATTTGGTATGTTTTCGTTCTTTAGCCATCAGAGGAATATCCATCAGGCAAAGAAATGACTTCAGGTTTGTGTGTTTTTTCTATTCACGTATTTAAATGTTTTTATTTCTTATATCTTTTGGAAAAATGTTTTGGGAACGGGAGAGGCACTTTTGCCTCAGGTTCTCAAACTATAAATGGGCTATTAGCAGGTAGAGTTAGTTTTAAATATAGAAATATTTAGTGCAATTGGATTTTACTATTTGTATCGTAGTTGCTTTGCTTGTTTGGAGGCATCGGTCAAATTTCATCATGTGAACTGAATCATTGTAAGTGTGAATAATTATAATTTCATGAATATCAATAAATACGTGATTTTTTATTGTTGAAGAGGAATTAAAACAGGCGATTGTATCGATGATGTTAAGAAAAGATGAAGTTGAAGAACGTAACAGGTTGTATTATCGTCCTTCGTTTAATATTAACATTCCATTCGAATATACACTATTTTGCCCTGATTTTTCCTTCGGTCATCTTTCCTGTAGATCGTTACAACAACATTTGGAAAAGAGATGATGAAGTCAGCTTCTCTTCGTCTTCAATTAGAAGATTTAAAAGAGCTATGTCGTCGAAAGATGAAGAAAATTGCGTCGCTCTTAACGGCTTGAAAAGGTTAGGACATTGAGAACTCTGCATTTCGTTAATCAAAGATGTCTGTTGACCTGTTGACCAACTAAAGAAATACGTGGGTGCTGTTCAATCGTTGAAAAGAAATGACATTATGGAAGAAGGTTTATTAGAGGGATAGTTTATCTTTAAAATAGATGTAGAAATCTAAGATATTCGATAATCTTTTGTGTAGCTCCAGAAAATGAAAGACTTTCTTCCATCATTCTTTCTCCGGAATCTGACGTCGACGAAGTGAGGTATTTACAGTAAATTTGTAGCAAAAGTGAATCAACGGCGTTGAATTTCGTTTCTTTTTCTTGTAGAAAGGAAAAAAACAAAGATTTTGAGCGGAAGTTGATCCAAGTAAGATTTCCATTAAACCATAATACTTTTACAAATCGAAACATTTGCCTTAAAAGGTCTTCATGTATCATATGCTTCATGAAGATGAGCCGAAATTTATTTGATAGAAAACTCTGCACACGGTGACTTTTAGAAATATCTAATACAAGAAGATATTTTAACTTATGAAAACTGAGGATAAATAACTGAAATGAAATCGTGATATATGTTTAAAAACTCGCCACTCTGACTGATTTCGCGTTTCTTGTTCATGTCTGGGGAATTTCATGGTGATGGCGTCATGGCGTAAGTTGTGATGAAATGTTGTTTATCATGTTTAAAGGTCGCTGATATGCATGGCGAACTTATTGAACGCTCGTGAATATCAGCTAAGAAAATTAAAAGAAGAGCTTGTCAATCTTAGAGGACCGGTATGTTCAGTAAAGACCCGTGTGTTCATTATAGTACAATAGATGTACAATATTGATCGGTATGTACAATATGAACTGTTTGGTATGAATATGAAAAGCAGTAAATATTCTTTTCATTTTCTAAGTATTTCTTAATAAAACTACGTATCTTCGTATGTTCTAGCTTCCTCAGGACAATAATCATGATGAATGTTTATATTTGACGGAGTTTGGTCCAAATTTCATGTCTGTCAATACTCGTCCTTTAATTAACATTTGGATTCCATCTGTTTTTGTCAAGGAAAGTCTCCAAACATTCACCATTCTTATCAGGTATAATTTTTCCATATATTTATCTCTAAAAAAAGTAAATAACTCTTCCGATGTGATGTTGATGGTTATCTGGACTAGGTTAGGGATAACTAGGAAAATATTTCAAGATTTATTATCTATATTTGGTATTTTCCTCGTTTCAAATACATCACCCTTAAGAAAAGTGTTTGTGGTCATCGTATTTAAAAGATCATGTCGTAGTTTAAATTTACTGCTCAAATATTTCACTTTTCATATGTATATGTTTAGTGGTGTTGAGAAAAAATCACAAAACTACAGATTCATCCCGACAAGCCTGTTTCGTGATTGCTCACTCTTCAGGGATTTTCCTTTAATCACGAAACAGGCTTGTCGGGATGAATCTGTAGTTGTGATTTTTCTCAACACCACTAAACATATTACATCTGCTCGGGCATCGAGCACTGTTTTAAACGGATTTATACTGTTTTATACTGTATATATATACAAAGTGTATATACAATGTGCCCTCCGGCTATCACTATATTAAAATAGTGATTCCTGCACTTGGGACACAGGGCGTACGGTTACACATTGTATGGATTGTATGTAGAGTCAGCACAGTGCTCATATATATATATATGTATATCATCTGCTCAGTGGTCCATTTATTGTCGTCAATAAAGAATTTAACATTGTTTACTTCACAAGGTTTATATCCGTATCAAAGACGATGAATGGAATGTTTACAAAAGATACTCGGATTTTTATGCCCTACATAAAAGGGTTTTTTAATGAACATCAGTATTTTAATTTTTTTAATCATATTGTTTTGCCGTAATGTACAATCCCTTCCTTTTCCTTTTTATGCACAGACAAGCAAGCAGTTTAAACCTGTTGCACAATTCACGTTTCCCGCGAAAAAAATTCTTGGAAATCGTGACGTAAATTTTGTGGAAAAACGTCGGAAACAATTGGAAAATTACTTGAGACAATTGATCAATTATAGTCTGGGTGCTGTTCCAGAGTTAGGTGAAAATCCTTGCAAGAGTTCTTTGTTCAAATACTTTCCATTTTTCATGTGAGTAAACACGTGATCATGTTTGAGTGTAATTTATTGTTCAATATACAGAATATTAAACGATATTTTAGTGTTAATGTTTGTAAGGCAAGAATAGACAGAAAAAATTGAAAGTCAAAACAAGAACATAAAGCAATCTAGCGCATGCCCTGATTGGTCTATAACTGTGTTTTCATTAGCTTCTGCAAACCGATCTGAGCCCAACAAATCAAATCAATCAAAGAGAATTCGCAAATCAATCATGAATACATTTTAGAGGAAAAATTAAATCGTTTGTTTTAAATTTGTCTATTTCGCATTATTGATATTTTTTTAAAAAGATATTTTTTCTGTTTGCACTGCCTTATGCAAACCTCGGAGATGTTGTGAGAAATCTTGAGCATGTGCAACACTCTACCTTCGGTTTCGGGCTTGCACTGATCTGCTCTCGTGTTCTCCCAAAGGTCTCCTCGGTTTGCATAAGCCTGTGCAAACACAGTAAAAATCTTTTATTTCGTAATAATACAACACAAAGAACTCAAACTTAGGCTTGTTTTAGAAAGAAAATGCTACTACCTATTATTTCATGAATAGTTTATCAATTTTTCCCTAAACTTTCAGCAAATATTTTACAGGCAAACTTCAACGGTATCATCTGTTTCAACGACGACAACAACAAAACAAACTGTTCCTTCTACACATAATGGTTAAAAGGTAAAACTTGTAGGATGTCACAATCAAAAACAGAGCATGGAAGTGTATAACTTTTATTGTATATATATAACATACGTATAGTTCAGTATATGTAAATATAATATGTCTACAAAGTAGAAGAATTTACTGATGCATCAACTTCAAGGACTCTTTATTGTATGTGTTATATACAGATATAATTTGTCAGTATTTGCTACTATATAATAGTATCATACAGGGTTTTAACAAGTTAAAACATAATATTTAACTTGAAATGAAAGCAATCGTATTTTAAATACATCACACGAAACCTACTATGCTATTAAATTTTGTGCTATCTCTGCACGATTTGATCAATTTACACATACCGCGTCACCCAGCTCTTGCTGGTGAATGTTTATACCACTTGACACGTGACCTATTTTGATCAATACGTCGTATGACTTTTTGGCGATCTTTCCCGCGCTATGTGTAAGAGATTTCTTGCTGAAACAATCTTTATCGTAAGTATTACGTAAAATATTTCATTTATAAGTTTCAAAGTATTACATTGAGTAATATAACCTTTTATTTCAAAGAGGGTAACGCAGAGTCGTTATTGTAAGTATTGTACAAAATTTCTAAGAATAGGATTTACTGCTTCCTACATGTATCTATTGTAATATGAAGATGTCTTCAGCTAAAGACAAACGTTATTGTTGATAAAATTATATACCCATGGCCATATTAAAAGTTTTATGATGGGCAATTATATTTAAACTAAGAATTCGCTTTCCGCCTTGCAAACCATTTTCACAATATTTTATAACATCACAACAAGTTAAACCTGTTGAATACATGATTCTTTCTTTGAAGCTGTTGCAAAAAGTCGTTTCCAAACTCGAAAAAACGAAGATGGCCGTTGAAGAGTTACGTTTTTACAAAACTTATATCAGTTTTACCCTAAAATATCAGCTGCTTCTTCCTCAGTCAAACTTTATACTTCATTCCTCATTCATTTTCAAAGCTGTCGGGAAAAGTCTTTCAAGAAGTCAGAAAAGAATTTGACGAAGAAAGGCATTGCCGAAGTTTTTGTTGTACATGGTGGGTTTTTTTTACCAGAGGTTTGACAATTGCTGGTTTATCAAAGATCTTTACGTTAAATACATGATTATTTTTTGCTAAGCTCTGAAAAAGTCGTTCAAGAAGTCAGAAAAGACGTTAACGAAATGACGACCGTTACAGAATGGCATTGCGGAAATTTTCGTTGCACAAGGTCGGGTTTCTCTTGGCGAATTGTTGCCTCCAATATTAGCTGCTTTTATGTCCATCGTTTGTATCTTTACTGTTTACTGAAATAACTGCCGAAAGTTTGTGTAAGAACATGTTACATGTTACATGTTCGTTCGCTGAATCACGGCTATCGGGCTCATATAAATAGTCCCTAAAACTAAAGGTAAGTTCATGAAAGTAATCAACTGCATACATTGCCGTCTACTATAGTCTTTGCATTTTTACACATTTTCATGCCAAAGACTATATTTCAGGCAGTTTTACACAATTTCATGCCAAAGACTATAGTTTTACAAACTTTCATGTCAAAGACTATAGTTTTACAAACTTTCATGCCAAAGACTATAGTTTTACAAACTTTCATGCCAGACTATACTCTTTGCATTTTTATACACTTTCACATCAAAAACTATAGTCTTTGCATTTTTCACACTTTCACACCAAAGACTATATAGTCTTTCATTTTACTTCACATTGTCGCATGGAGATTGAAAATTCTTTAAAGGGACAACAAATAATACCGGCTGAAAGTAGAATGAAAAATTAAAAAATACATTGCAATAATATTTTTCTATCCTGTTCATTCCTTTGATGTGTGCAAAACTAGTTGGTCAGCCTTCATTTACCATTGAAGACCTTTATATAATTTCAATGTCTGTCACTACGCCAAGCCCACAGGTGCATGGAACATTGTTAGCTACGTTTATGCAAGCACAAAGATTTTCCTCCATTGAAAATGTAATGCACTAGTGAGGTTAGCACAGTGATTGGGTTTCGAAATTTTACAGTAGTTTAATTGCCAAACGTCGTTTTATGTACACCCTGTAGAATGCTAAATAAAAAGAGATCAAATGTTAATGCTAACAAATACAATAAGAAAATGAGATGAAGATACAATCTAGATGGTTTATCAAATCATTTTTGACATCAGTGGACCTTTAGAATTTGCATGATTCAGCAAGTTGTTCCCCAAAGGAGACTTAAATGTTTGGAATTTGCTATTTGCTGTAGCTGAAGTATACGTTTTATTTATATTGTATTAAATTGCATTTACCGCTCTATGGGGGATTAATTACTTCTAAGTGATGAATCATGCAAATTCTAAATTTCTAATGTACAATTGACGTCACACCTGGTCAATGACCAATCAGAACACAACACGTTTTCAACACGCCTAGTCACTGACCAATCAGAATACAACACGTTCGTGAAACTTGGGCCATAGTCTAAGACTAAGAACGTGCCATTTTGTCGTGAAAGTCTGTAGTTGCACGAAGAACAGCAGAACAGTTAGCCGAAGTCGAAATTATTCCAAGGTGAAATATCTCTGAGTGCTTTGAAAAATGTTCAGGTAAATGTCTTGTTTCATGTTCTTTTGCATTGAGTAAACATTGAATTGGGACACTACATGTGATGTTCATTAATGCAAAGTGCAGTGTGGCCTTTCCATAAAGTTTTCGTCTTAGTAACTTTTGTTTCCTCTATGCTTGATTTTAGACATGGACATTCTTCTCTTAAGCGACAATTAGTCATCAAATGAGATTGAGAAACAACAAACAAATGTTGGTGTATTTACCATGATCGTGGACTCTACAATTACAGAAACTGGTTGTTGTTCACAGCGGTTGAAAGAGAATTGTGGCTGTTGTCGACCAGTTCCTTCTTCCTTGAACTACGTTACGAGTAAATAAAATGTTCAATATAAGTATGTTATCAATGTTTTCATTTATGGAAGTATAGTGTGAACTGACATTGGCTAATTATCCTGTAGAAACCTTCTGATCAAGAATGGACAATATGCATACTTTAATGAAATCCTCTGAACAATGATCAGAATGAACAGCTACTTCTTTAAGGTCCTCTGAAGAATGATCAAGATGAACAATATACTTTAATGAGAATCTTCTGAATAATGATCAAGAATGAACAATATACTTTGATGAAATTGAAAAATACGTGACTTCTAATGCCCTAAA